TCGCTATTTTTGAACTTTTTTCAATTTTTTTAAAGGAAATAGCAAAAAATATATATTCTAACCATGTTAAATTAAAAATTCAGTGAGGATGTATCATAGATATGTGACAATTGTCATAATCGCTATTTTTGAACTTTTTCAAATTTTTTTAAAGGAAACATCTTAAAATATATATTCTAAACATGTTAAATTTAAAATTCAGTGAGGATGTATCATATATAGGTGACAATTGTCATAATCGCTATTTTTGAACTTTTTCAAATTTTTTTAAAGGAAATATCTAAAAATATATATTCTAAACATGTTAAATTAAAAATTCAGTGAGGATGTATCATAGATAGGTGACAATTGTCATAATCACTATTTTTGAACTTTTTCAAATTTTTTTAAAGGAAATAGCTAAAAATATATATTCTAAACATGTTAAATTAAAATTTCAGTGAGGATGTATCATATATAGGTGACAATTGTCATAATCGCTATTTTTAAACTTTTTCAAATTTTTTAAAGGAAACATCTTAAAATATATATTCTAAACATGTTAAATTTAAAATTCAGTGAGGATTATCATATATAGGTGACAATTGTCATAATCGCTATTTTTGAACTTTTTCAAATTTTTTTAAAGGAAATATCTAAAAATATATATTCTAAACATGTTAAATTAAAAATTCAGTGAGGATGTATCATAGATAGGTGACAATTGTCATAATCGCTATTATTGAACTTTTTCAAATTTTTTTAAAGGAAATAGCTAAAAATATATATTCTAAACATGTTAAATTAAAATTTCAGTGAGGATGTATCATAGATAGGTGACAATTGTCATAATCGCTATTTTTAAACTTTTTCAAATTTTTTTAAAGGAAATATCTAAAAATATATATTCTAAACATGTTAAATTAAAAATTCAGTGAGGATGTATCATAGATAGGTGACAATTGTCATAATCGCTATTTTTGAACTTTTTTCAATTTTTTTAAAGGAAATAGCAAAAAATATATATTCTAACCATGTTAAATTAAAAATTCAGTGAGGATGTATCATAGATATGTGACAAATGTCATAATCGCTATTTTTGAACTTTTTCAAATTTTTTTAAAGGAAACATCTTAAAATATATATTCTAAACATGTTAAATTTAAAATTCAGTGAGGATGTATCATATATAGGTGACAATTGTCATAATCGCTATTTTTGAACTTTTTCAAATTTTTTTAAAGGAAATATCAAAAAATATATATTCTAAACATGTTAAATTAAAAATTCAGTGAGGATGTATCATAGATATGTGACAATTGTCATAATCGCTATTTTTGAACTTTTTCAAATTTTTTTAAAGGAGATAGCTAAAAATATATATTCTAAACATGTTAAAGTCACCTATCTATGATACATCCTCACTGAATTTTTAATTTAACATGTTTAGAATATATATTTTTAGATATTTCCTTTAAAAAAATTTCAAAAAGTTTATAAATAGCGATTATGACAATTGTCACCTATCTATGATACATCCTCACTGAAATTTTAATTTAACATGTTTAGAATATATATTTTTAGCTATTTCCTTTAAAAAAATTTGAAAAAGTTCAAAAATAGCGATTATGACAATTGTCACCTATCTATGATACATCCTCACTGAATTTTTAATTTAACATGTTTAGAATATATATTTTTAGATATTTCCTTTAAAAAAATTTGAAAAAGTTTAAAAATAGCGATTATGACAATTGTCACCTATCTATGATACATCCTCACTGAAATTATAATTTAACATGTTTAGAATATATATTTTTAGCTATTTCCTTTAAAAAAATTTGAAAAAGTTCAAAAATAGCGATTATGACAATTGTCACCTATCTATGATACATCCTCACTGAATTTTTAATTTAACATGTTTAGAATATATATTTTTAGATATTTCCTTTAAAAAAATTTGAAAAAGTTCAAAAATAGCGATTATGACAATTGTCACCTATATATGATAATCCTCACTGAATTTTAAATTTAACATGTTTAGAATATATATTTTTAGCTATTTCCTTTAAAAAAATTTGAAAAAGTTCAAAAATAGCGATTATGACAATTGTCACCTATCTATGATACATCCTCACTGAATTTTTAATTTAACATGTTTAGAATATATATTTTTAGATATTTCCTTTAAAAAAATTTGAAAAAGTTCAAAAATAGCGATTATGACAATTGTCACCTATATATGATACATCCTCACTGAATTTTAAATTTAACATGTTTAGAATATATATTTTAATATGTTTCCTTTAAAAAAATTTGAAAAAGTTCAAAAATAGCGATTATGACAATTGTCACATATCTATGATACATCCTCACTGAATTTTTAATTTAACATGGTTAGAATATATATTTTTTGCTATTTCCTTTAAAAAAATTGAAAAAAGTTCAAAAATAGCGATTATGACAATTGTCACCTATCTATAATACATCCTCACTGAATTTTAATTTAACATGTTTAGAATATATATTTTTAGCAATTTGCTTTAAAAAAACTCAAAAAAGTTCAAAAATAGCGATTATGACAATTACCACTTATCTATGGTACATCATCAGTGAAATTTTGATTTAACATGTCTACAATATATATTTTTCTATTTCATTTAAAAAAGTTCAAAAATAATTATCATGACAAATGGCACTTTTCTATGGTACATCACTTAAAAATTTTAAAATATAACTATGATGAATAGTTAATCAGAGCATTATAATTTAAAGAAGCTTTAAGTAACTTTCCCGCCTATAATATTAATATATACTAAATGTTATTTGACTTTTGGTCGAAAAAAATGATCTAGATATTGGGTTAGGGGTGAAAAAAAGCAACCCTAACTTTAAGTCGTCTTTAAAAAGAAAGATCCATATTTTGGGTCGGATTGAATAAAACGACCCGATGTTTGAGTCTGAGTCAGAAAAACGACCCAAACTTTGAGTTAGAGTCGAAAAATACGACCCAAACTTCAAGTTTTAGTCGAAAAATACGACCCAAACTTCAAGTTTTAGTCGAAAAATACGACCCAAACTTCAAGTTTTAGTCGAAAAATACGACCCAAACTTCAAGTTTGAGTCGAAAAATATGACCCAAACTTCAAGTTTAAGTCGAAAAATACGACCCAAATTTCAAGTTTGAGTCGAAATATACGACCCAAATTTTGAGTCGGAGTCGTAAAAAACGACCCATATTTTGGGTCGAGGTCGTTTTTTTCGGCTTGGACTTGGGTCGGAGTCGAAAAAAACGACCCATATTTTGGGTCGAAGTCGTTTTTTTCGGCTTGAACTCGGGTCGAAGTCGAAAAAAACGACCCAAACATTGAGTCGGAGTCGAATAAAACGACCCGAGCTTTGGGTCGGGGTCGCGACTCGCGGCGTTTTAACAACACTATTCGTAACTTATTGTCTTAAACCTAGCAAAAACATTTTTAAAAAAATTCACTAATATATCTTTTATTTTTTGATAATATATTTTATTTGTGTATGTATATAAAAAAAATCAACATTTACAAATTTATTATTATAAAATAAAACTATAAAATTAAAAACGGATATTTATTGATAGTTTTAATATTTAAAATTTACTAAAAAAGATATTTTATTTAAAAATTCTGTAATATCAGAAGTTCTTTCATTTCATATTTTCTATTTCTTCGCCGCACTCTAGATCCATTATTGATCTGGATAATTTTGAGGTCGTTAGAATGTTGATGACCTATTAAAGTTTTTATAAGAATATAAACATTTGGGTGAGCGTGTGCCATTTTTCTCTTTAAGGCATGATGAAACCCCTCTAGATGATTGTTGGTGCGGGGACCATCGACTTTATATCTAAATTATATGAAAATTTTAAAAATTAATTAATTATATTTTAAATACCTTGTCCATATGCCATGAGGAAATATGGCATTAAGGCCTAGCCATGTCGTATCCATATACTCCATAAAATCCATGAGCATGGGATTTTCAGATGCCATAATATAACAATTTTGCCTTACCCTAGATATATCTTCCTCCTTACAAAAAGGCAAAGTTGTCATGGGCCTAACAACTTTGTGAACATTGGAGTGGTTCAGATACAAGCTTACCAACCCTAAAGATTGACATCTTCGCCATAACGCTTGCGAATAATGGAAAAAACATCTTATACAAAATTATATTAGATAATAAATCATAAATTTAACCCTTTATAATCATGCTAGGAAATACAAACTTGAGAGCTGATATAGCAGCTGCCTCAAAGTCTGTTTGGCCAAATCGAGGATTAAAGGTTATCTGGCGTTCGGCGCAAAAATTAGTAATAATTTTAAAAAGCCGGATATATGTTTCTTTTGTCTTATCCGGAAGGAGAGCGTAAATGATAAGTATCACAACACCTTCATACATAACATGCAAGGTATAAAGTTGATAAAATAAGGTAGGAGCTACATGAAAATTTCATCCATGTAGATCATATTAGAACCCTCGGTCAAACGCAACATGGAATCAGTACCAAAAACGTATAAGTTACCTGTTCCGTGGATTAGAAAACGTTCATTGCGAGTTGTCATAGCATATTCTGCTGATAACTCAATATCCAAAATCGAATGAGGCATAGGGGGCCGATATTTCATAAGGAGTCTATGTGACTCCTCAAAGATATAAATGATGGTATCGCCTCAGAATAGTTTTCTATTTCTGGATCCTCCAAACATCTCTTATCCATAGTTTGTTGATAAATGTTTAAGCGTGTCTCAAAGAGATTCTGAGCTACAATGTTTTCGAGTGCTTCTTTAGTTTTAAGCATCTCGAATGTCCCTATTTCAAAAGGATGATCATGTATACCCGAAGCAATATAAGCACCATCAAATATGCATTTATACTCTACAACGATATTTTATAATGTCCCTATTTTGACAGTGAAATCTATATAGATAGTTCTGAAAGAAGAGTAATATTTTCCCCTTTTGGCTTTTGACAAAACGAGCCTCTAGTTAATTAAAAATAATATTAATGCAATTTATTATAATTATTTTTACCATAAATATTTGAATTTAAGTCTAATAAGGCTTGTGCTATGTCAAGAGGGGAATCTAGATTTGTGTCAGGCACTATGGGAGAAACTTGTGGTTCCAAATGTGGAATACCATTGGATGAAACTAGATTATAAAGAAAATTGTCAAATTAAGAATTTTTAAAATTTTTATTTACTTGAGATATCAGGCACTATGGGAGAAACTTGTGGTTCCAAATGTGGAATACCATTGGATGAAACTAGATTATAAAGAAAATTGTCAAATTAAGAATTTTTAAAATTTTTAGTTACTTGAGATATCAGGCACTATGAGAGAAACTTGTGGTTCCAAATGTGGAATACCATTGGATGAAACTAGATTGTAAAGAAAATTGTCAAATTAAGAATTTTTAAAATTTTTATTTACTTAAGATATCAGGCAAAATCACAGAATCTTGTGATTGTGTTGATGGAAGACTAAGATGGGTGTTATCTTATTTAAAATAAAGATGTTTAAATATCTTAAATATTTATTTTATTACATTTACACTTCGCTGTGTTCTATCGTGATTATTATGTCCTTTAATGAGAGCTTAGCTCTACCAGAACAATTATCACGACAACTTAAGTGTATAAATTTTTTGTTGGCACTTTTTATGAGGTACTCATACCCTAAATAAATTATTAAATGATTTCCTTTTTGAGTTTTCTTAAAAGTAAAAAAATATATAAAAATATATAAAACAATATTACTTCAAATTTAATATTTTGAATCTTAAGGTAACATTCCAAATTATTGGCAATAGTGGCTATTATCTATAAATATTTGAATTATTTTTAAAAATTTATTAAGAATATATAAATCTATATTAAATCAGTGCTATTATAATTATTAGAGTAATACATATAAATTATATTGTTACTTTACTGTTAACAATTGTAAAAATGGAATATCAAGATCACTCATAATGTCAAATATAGTATTGATAGTTTAAGCTTAATTGATTTAATATTATTAAGTTATTTTACAATCTTAATTAATTAAATATAATCATTTATTAATTGAAAATAAAATTAATCCAATTTAATAGTGTGATTTGTGTTGTCAAGTTCAATATCAATAATCAACTAAATCACTCTTTTAAATTTAAGCCTTTAAGAAAATATCTAAAATTTAAATCAGTATCCAAAACTTCTTAGTGAAAACTCTAACTATATTTAATTAATACATCTTTATAAATTATATTATCATTAAGTTCAATATCAAAATTTAAGTCTCTAAGAAATTTCTAAAATTTAAACCAGTATACAAAACTTCTTAGTTAAAGTCAGTATTCAAAACTTTTGAGTGAAAACTCTAACTATATTTAATTAATACATCTTTATAAATTATATTATGATCATTAAGTTCAATATCAAAATTTAAGCCTCTAAGAAAATTTCTAAAATTTAAACCAGTATACAAAACTTCTTAGTCAAAGTCAGTATTCAAAACTTTTGAGTGAAAACTCTAACTATATTTAATTAATACATCTTTATAAATTATATTATCATTAAGTTCAATATCAAAATTTAAGTCTCTAAGAAAATTTCTAAAATTTAAACCAGTATACAAAACTTCTTAGTCAAAGTCAGTATTCAAAACTTTTGAGTGAAAACTCTAACTATATTTAATTAATACATCTTTGTAAATTATATTATGATCATTAAGTTCAATATCAAAATTTAAGCCTAAGAAAATTTCTAAAATTTAAACCAGTATACAAAACTTTTTAAAAAACTAATATATTACTTGCCACTTTTAATTTTTTATCGCTTCAGATATGGCGGTCATTTTTTGAATATGTTATTTTGAAGACGTTTTAAAACATACTCAATTTATGCTATTTTGAGCAATGCTATTTAGTGGTCAACCGCTCATTTAGATGCCCCCTATCCAGAAATTATACCATTGTTAGATGATGAAGCACAGGTTTTATAATTTTTAAATATGATTCTTTTATAAATCAAGATCATTTTCTATATTTATAATTAATAGCAATCACATTTAGATGCCCCCTATCCAGAAATTATACCATTGTTAGATGATAAAGCCCAGGTTATATATTTTAAATATGATTATTTTAATAAATCCAGATCATTTTCTATATTTATAATTAATAGCAATCTCATTTAGATGCCCCCTATCCAGAAATTATATCATTGTTAGATGATGAAGCCCAGGTTTTATAATTTTTAACTATAATTTTTTTTAAAATATGAATGAAACATAATATTTTTAAATTTATAATATAAAATTTATAAGTTTTAATAGTTTGTTTGTAGAATGTTAATTAAATTTCTCTTCAAAATATAGCAAATGGAAAATATAGCCAATAGTTTTATTTTTGATAACCCAGAAGAAATATATAGAAATTTATCAACAAATAAAGAGGTTTATAATTTAAATAATATTTAATAATGTCTTTAAAGGGTAAAGATAATCATATTGTTATCCAATTAGAGTCAATTTATACAGATGAAGTAATCAGTTTAAATTATCTATACATTTTAAATTATACAGTTGCCAAACAAAGCTAAATTAACTCCTTTATCTCAATATAAAAATGAAGAAGATATTATTTCATTATATAAGGAAAAGAATCCTAATGATCCCTTTCATTTTTTTAAATGTAGAATGACTAAAAATATGATTGATTTTATAATTCAATTTGGCCCACTACAACCAAGTTCCAGTGAATCTAGTTATCCAAAAACTCATAACAGGTTGATTTAATGATATTGTTGCCAGTAGTAGTAGATTAAGTAGTTTGAGTTATATTTATTTAATTTTGTACTTTTTATTATAATAAATAAAATTTATTTCCAAAATATTATTTTATGAATATTTTAAAGAATAAGGACTTTTTATAACAAAGTATAATTATCTTTAGGGCTGTGCCGATCCACATATTTTTCACCGATCCGATCCGATATTGGTTCAAAACCGATCCGATACCGATCCGATATTTATATTAATTTTTCACCACCCCTCTTTGAACCAAATGTAATTAATAAATCAATATTTTTTATGCATAATTTAATTTTTTTATTTCAACAATAATTTTAAAAAAAATATATAATAATATATCCATTTTATGTTGGTTTATAAAATTGTAATATTTAATATATAAAATTATAATATTTTAGATTTTTTTAAATAAATATAAGAGCCTCTAGATTTTCAGGCGATAGGCTTCTACGATGAGGACTATCAATATCCCCTGCCGTACTGAAGGCAGACTCAGATAGACACTTGTTGCTGGAGGAGCCAAAAATTTACGTGCAAGTGTTGATAAAGTTGGATATTTACAGCATTAACTCTCCAATATTCAAGTGGATTCACTGGGGATATAATATCAATATCATCAATGTTATTCGAGTTTTCTAAATAAATAACACAAATATAAAATTAGCATTTATAAAATCGTGGGTTTCATACAAACCCAATCTTTTGTTGATTTTGAAAAATCACCCAAACAAATGGGTCAATCATAGCCCAACCAAGCAATATTTAAATTAATATGAAAAATATGTTGTTATACTTTCTATATATAGATTCTTTTAAATATTCCTTGATTTCTATTAGGTATGGCAGGTCATCATTTTTTACATTACTATCGATTTCATTTATTACTAGTTTTTCTTTGATTTTCAATTTATAAGCATCCCTTAAATTAAATTTGCATTTTTTAATGTTATGTGGAACATTTTTCTCATTGTCATTACCTAAGTTAACAATAAAATCTAAATTTATTTTAAAAAATATAAAACCTGGCGAATCTTTATTAGAAATTGGAAGTTAAACATTATCATCACCTTTAAAAAAAGACTCACATGCAGTCCTGAGCTTTTCTATGTATGATATGTTTTTTGGCAAAAAGAAATCCTTATATCGAGGATCAAGTAATGTTGCGACAACATAATTGTCATCATCATAAATATCAAAAAACCGAGTTGTTAATTGATTATTAGTGGTATTCTTCATAGTCTGCACACCTCTATCTGTGTCCCCATTAATTGTTAATTCACTTTTCAGAATTTCAACAAAGGGTATAACATTGCTAATTGAACATGATTCCGTACTTATTTCTTTTGTTACTCTCTGAATTGGTTCAAGAACATCAATTACCCTTTCTGCTAATTCCCACTCATATAATGAGAGATTTCCCAAATTAGGATTATCGATAATGAACAGCTGTACCGCCCTTTTTTGTTCTATCAATCTTTCGAGCATATAACAGGTAGAATCCCAACGGGTGGGCACATCCTGGATTAATTTGTGCTGGGCTAGACTTAATCGAATTTGGATTTCTTTGAGACAATTTTGTGCAATAGAAGAATGTTTAAAGTGTCCTACTATTTTTCTAACCCGGGCAAGCATGTCAATAATAGATCTCTGTGATAAAATTGCTGCCTGTGCAACCAATTGCAAACTATGTGCAAAACACGAAACGCTTTGAAATTTCCCATTTTTCATGGCCAAAGTTATATTGGGTGCATTATCTCTAATGATTAGGTGTATTTTATTTTTCTTTATATCCCAATAATTAATAATTTCATCTAAAATTTGAGCAATATTTATTGCTGTATGCGACTCATTAAATGTTTTAACATTTAGAACTCTATTAATTTGTTGAAAATTTTGGTTTATATAGTGGCATGTTAATGAGATGTGAGAATCGCCACCTGAATTTCTAGTCCATATATCTACCGTAAAGGATAAAAAAGAATCGTCAACCAAAATTTCTTTACGAATTTTTTCGGAGAGTTTTTCATATATATCCGGAATAACTCCTTGCGAAAAATACTTTCTATTGGGAATTTTGTAATTTGGACATAAATGATGTAAAAGCCTTTTAAAGCCTATATCCTCCAAGATTGAAATCGGCTGGTGGTCACACGCTATCATTTCCCCTATAAATTTAGAAATTATTATTGATTTAGGATCAGAATGTTTCCAAATATTAGTTTTATTAAGAATGGCTGATATTGTTGGCTGACTTTCAGGGCTCTTTTTTTTAAATTTGATTTGTTTTTTCTAATATTTCTCGTTCTTTTTGTGTTAGCTCTTCGAATTCCTTTTGATGGCAACGCTTCAGATGTTTCCTAATGTTAGTTGTATTGAACGAATTTTTCAGTATTCCTCTAGGTGAAATTAGAATTCCGCAGATGACGCATTTTGCAAAATTACCTTCATCTTTATCAAAATATTTTTATCAAAATATTTCCATAATTCAGAAACCATATTTAAAATAATTTTTATTTAAAGTATAAATAATAAAATTGGTGTTATTTTTTTAAAAAATTAAAAATAAATAAAACTTTGCGTGTTCCTTTCTATTTTTATAAAAAAACTTGTAAAATCTATTTAAAAAAATAAATAACATTTGCATTGTTTAAAAAAAAATTATTTATAAAATATTATTAATGTAAAATAGAAACTCGAAAAAATTTATTTTTTTTTAAAATATTTAAAAAAAAATTTTTTTATTAAAAAATAATAATTCAAAGTTTCATTACTCAAAAGTTTTATAAGAATTGCATTTTTAGAAAAAGGATCGGATCGGGGTTTTTACAGGTATCGGGCCGATCCGATATTTTTGAAAAACGCCAAATATCGGGACCGATCCGATCCGATATTTAATATCGGCACAGCCCTAATTATCTTATAATTAATATTTTAATTTGCACTAAATATCATATTTTACCTTATATATTATTAATTATTCAACAATTATATATATTAATATATTGCTTTTATATGTAGGAGCATGAAAGATATGTATTATAAAAAAATCAATAATAACAAATCATTTTCACAAAGGAAATGGCTATCCTATAGCTTTATTTTAGATAAAGTATTCTGTAACTTTTGTATTATGTTTGGAAATCATCAAGCAAGCATACAATGGACTCAAAAAGGTGCTGATAGCTGGAATAATTTAATTCGGGATATGGAGAGACATGAAGCATCCCCTGTTCATGCAAATTGTGAATATGCACAAATGGCATGGATTTCTCGGAAGCGTATTGATGACCATCTTTTATTCGACTGAGAAGAAATTATAACCCAAAATCGTTTTATTATCCATAATATAATTGATGCTATTGTATATTTAATACGAGGCAATGTTGCTTTTTGGAGAAGCAATTCTAATAATGGTAATTTTTCAAGGTTTATAACTTTGATCTCAAAAAATGTCCCAGTATTAAGGGCATATCTAGAGAAAAATAGTACTTCACGGGGAAAAAATGGCAATAAAATATTGAGACCACATATAAACTTCATATCCTATGGCCATGTAAAAAAATTAGCTGAGATAATGAAAATAAAAATATTGAATCAAATAATTAAGCAAATTGTGCCTTTAGCTTAATATTAGATGACACATATGATATTTCAAAAAAAGAATTTGTTGCCTTAATTATAAGGTATATTCAAGATTATCCACATCCAGTGGAAAGAATTATTAATATTTTTACAACTTCTGATACAACCGGAGAAAATATTAAAAATAATGTTTTGTCTAAGTTAAAAGCATTACATCTTCCACTAAAATACCTCATTGGTCAAAGTATGGATGGTGCCAATAATATGAGAGGTGTTAATAAGGGAGTACAGGCTCTAATATTAAAAGAGGCTCCTAAAGCAATTTATGTGTGGTGTCATGCTCATAGACTTAATTTAATTGTTATTCGTATATGTGCTCATGGAAATGAAATTAAAAACTCGATGGGAATTTTAGACTAACTCTATAATTTTATGAATGGAGTTAAACGTCAAGGGGTTTTTATGAAATTCCAGATGCAAAAGTCCAAAAAATCTCTAAAAAGAATAAAAAATACAACACGGTAAATGAATATAATTTTTCTAAGAAATTTATTTATTTTCAGAAATTGGGCCTCGTCTTTCAAACATTAGAAATTTTTTAAATGTTTATGAATATATTATAGCCTCATTGAATGAGCTAAGCAATTTTGATGACCCAATCACATCTTCAATTGCTGAGGGATTATTATCAAGAATAAAAAAATATGATTTTATTTTAAGCTTATTTATTTTGAAAATTATCTTAAAATGCACACACTAAACCTGCATTGAATTGCAGGCCATAGGAAATGATCTAGCTATGGTAAGTAAATTAATACAACATACAAAAAATAAATTTCAAAGATTAAGAGGTAAATTATTATCATATATTTAAATTATATTTTGTAATTAAGCTAATGGTGATAATATTTTCTCCAAATTACACCATGATGTTAAATCCTTTATGGATGAAAATAATATTATATCGGATATCTATAATTTTAGGTCAATATTCAAATTGGATCAAACAGAGTTTGATAATTATTTTGAACAACAAAAGGAGAAGTTAAGAAAAGTTTATTTTAAAAATAATATTTTATTTTTTAGATATAAAAACGATAATTTTTACCCAATAATTGATAATTAAACATTTAAATGAAAGATTTAATTATGATACACTTCATTTTTTAAATCAAATTTCTATATTTACTCCTGCTGGATTAGCAGACAATGAGTGTATAGAAATTTCCCAGATATCGGAAATTGCTGGTTTATATCATTTTGATCCACAGAAAATACTGGATGAATATTTCAATTACCAACTTTTATATTTAGATTCCTCATTAATTATTTATAGTAAAGATCTCATGAATATAAGGAAAAATGATACCTTATATGACGAAAGTAATTAATTTTAATAACAACATAATTTTAATATATGCTTACAGATGAAAACATAAATGATAATAAAACCAACAATACAAAAAAATGGCTAAAATATTCGTTTATATTACCATATAGATTATTAGCTAAATTAAATTCTTTTCCATGTTTAAAAAGATTATATAAATATTTGATAACTCTACCAACTACCTCATGCTCTGCTGAAAAAGCTATGAGTAAAGTTAAAATAGTTAAAACTCGCATAAGAAATAAAATTTCTGATAGCTTTTTAGAAAATTTATTATTAATATCTAGTGAAATTGATTATTTAGATACATTTAATACAGAGGATATTATTACAGATTTTGCACTGACTTCTAAAAGACTATCTAGTCTTTTAATCGCATAGTCCATATATTTATTTATATTAAACAGCAATAAATTTATGAATTTGTCATTATAATTTCCTTTTTTTTAATATTTAAATAAATTTATAAAATTAAAACTATTTTAAAACTTTAATTTACTAGTCCCTTTATAATAAGTCATTTTTAGGTAGCCTTTTGCTCCACATTTATTTATATTCATCATATTATTTTAAATATATTCAACATTAAAAAGTATTGTTACAATTATAATATATTTTTTTTAAATTTCGATCATTTTTATAATAATTATTCTTTATAATAATTCCCTATTTTCGATATAATACTATTTCAAGTGTTGATACTAGTATATAATAAATAATATATTGCAATGTTATATATGTGGTTGTTTTTTTTGTAATTAAATTGCGAAGTCATTTATTTTTGATGATAAATATTTTTTGTGATTAAATTGTTAAGTCATTCATTTTTGATTATTAATATTTTTGGTGATTATTTTGCGCAATCATTTTGTTAAAAAAAACATAATTATTATAAATATTTATTTTGTAGTTAATATAAGAGAAAAAAAACAAAATAAATCATTATTCTATTTTTCTTCCAAAATAATTTTTCTTTGAAACTATTCCGATCATTTTATAGTTTTCTTGTGTTGATTTTGAAAATTTAAGACGAGTTTAGTGAAAGAGGAAAATAATAGAAAGCGAAGGTAAGTTATTAATAAATAATATATAGGACTCTTCAACCGGTATAAACCTGAAAGCAATCATTTAATAAAACTAGTAGCCTTTTATTTAAGCATAAATTAATCATTATGTAATAATAACGCCGCCGAAGGTGGCGAAATTTTTAGGGGGGTAAATATATATTTTTGAGGGGGGTTTGCAGTGAATATGCTGTCATGTAGACGCTGGTTCCAGGCACCGGTTACTCCCGTTAAAAGTTGGATCAAAAAAGTAAAAATGAAGAGGTCCACTAAAAAAAAAAAATTCCAATTCAGAAATATTATTATTTTTTATAAATATTTAAAAAATATTTATATTCTTGAGGATCCTACATTATAGAAAGCTTGCCTAAATGGTTCTTCTCCAAATAATATACGTCTTTATTCGCATATATACTTATTATTTTGCTTAAGTAAAATAATTGCATATTTTTTATTTCTCATCGTTCCTGCTCAATAAAATTCGCTATTGAAAATATACTAATTTATATTATGGCCATAATTATTAATATTTATTTAATTCCTCCTCCCCCATACCTGTTGTAACTGTTGAAAAAAAAAAGAAATAAATGTAATTTAATACAGAAAATGTCAGTCATTTTCTGACAGGGGAATTAGTTTTTTCCTTGTGGATAAGTGGAAAACGTGATCATCACATGTTTTGATTTTTAAGGATTCCTTTGTTAGCTATTTTGGAGCGAAGATATTGGATTTAGTGGAGCAGATGTCAGCTGGGAGAAATGAAGAATGGACCTGTGGGAGTGAAGAACATGTGGGATAAATATGATTTATAATATTTATATATTTCTTTTTTAATGGATAGATAAATATGAATAAATGTGTTATGAAGAAATATGGATTGTTTTATGGATATGTTTTTACATGATATATATATATATATATATATATGATATTACAAACGCAAGAATTAATAAGTCATATTAGAAAATAAACTAATTTAAATAATACATAAAAATCACAAATAAGTAATGATAAATACTTATTAAAGATATTGAATAAAATAAAACTAGTATATTTTTTTTAGAGATGCCATTTAGCCATTTACTCCGAATATAAGCTATATTTAAAACAACAGAAAATAACCTGCAATTCTAATAAATCATTTGATTTTATTTTTTTTCTTATTTGCAAATTTTCAACTCCCATTAAATATACTACTCTCCCTTCCCTGTTTAAGCTATTAATAGGTAAAAACTAATATTAAAATCCCTGGTTATTATAATTAATTTATAAATATTTTATTAATTATTGCAAATAATTCTTATATGTGTTTGCTATGTTCTTCACAAATAAATAATAAACTGTATTTTATAAACTCATCTAATTTAATTGGTATTTATAATTTAAAAGGATCTTGTATTTAAGATACTCTAATTTAGTAAAAGATACAAGTATCTTTTATCTGTATCTTTTTGATATTTTGAAAAAGATACTAGTATCTGTATCTAAGATTCATTTTTTTATAAAGAATCTGTATCTGTATCTAGATTCTTTTTCTGGAGGACCTGCCCAACTCTGCCAGTTAGAGTATATTAAATCCTTTTCGTGAGGTCTAGCATAGAATTTAATTATTTTGATGCTATTCATTTTGATAGAATAAAAATTTCAGTTTTCTGACGAGGATCGTGGAGTCAGCAACCTCTGTATTCGTCGATATGACTTGAATATATGTATAAACCTCATCAGGTTGGTTGAAAGAACGGCGTACTTGCCAATGGCTCTTGATCTTAACAAATTCCAAATCCTTTCGAAATGTATCAAAATGTTTTCGCTCAATTCAATAATCACTAATTCACCTACCAGATTTCCTAATTAATAAATAAAAACCAGTTATAAGCGAAATAACTACAGAGTCTTAAATATCGAATTTTAAAATTACGATTCAAATGTTAATTGGGTCCGAAATTATACCTGATTCAAAATACTTTTTAATTTTAACATTCTGATATTTATATTATTTTCAGTTTATTTAATAGATGTTTAGCAATATATATTTTGTTATTACATTTATAAGTAATAAAATAGCCCCCCCCCCTCTTGTTTGTGCCGCCATTGCCCAAACCTATATTTATAATAAAAAAGAGAGTTTTACAATCAAATCTATATGAGGAAAATTAACAAGGCTATAAATTATTGAATCTTTCATACATAGACCTGTTTAGAAAGGGCAGAAAGAATAGATATTTATTTTGTTTTATCTGCTCCAATTTGTCTGCAAATATCTTTATAAATCTGACAGGTCATATAACGTCGTCAGTCCAATGATATATATCATTGCGTCAGTCTCTGATTTTAGTAATAATCTCCTATAGTTGTTCAGGATTGTTTCTTACTATATTATTTTATTGGACGTACATACCAACTGCATTGTTATCAACTTTTCATTCAAATAGCATTTTATTTTTCAAGAAATTTTATATGAAATATAATATGAATATTGGTTAAACACTCAAAAAATTGGAAATAAACTTATAAAATATAAAAGAATGATATTGATATTATATCCTATTTTAATGGGTAAACCATTGATGTAAGTTTTAGAATTATTTAATTTATATGATATAATTATCTAATAAATTTGGCATGATATTTGTAAAATGTAAAATAAAACTACTAGTTCAAGATCTATCTATTATTTTAAACATAAGTCTTAAAAATTATTTATCTCAATATTGATATCCACTCTAAATTTATTGCCCTTTTCAACAATGGTTTTGTTATAATCATTTATAATTTTTTAAATACTTTATTTAAAAGATATTTATTATGCTATTATCTTAAGATTTATTGAAAGTGTATCAGAAACCTGTAAGAGGCCATAAAATAAAAGGATTTGACTGGGCCATTTTAGAAAATAAATTTAAATTATATCAATTATACTGTTGAAAAATCATATAATGGAAAGTTTAATATTCATATATAATTATTTTTTTAATATGTAAATTTTTTGCATAAGCTAAAATTATTCAAAATGATGAAAATCTTAAGGCTGGGCAATAAAATGATCAAAAATAATAATTTGAGCCAGACCACAGAAATCTAGGGCTGGGCCTAAAATTTTGACCTCTGTAGGTCTTTGAATTATATGAAATGTGTTGGTCAATAATCCTCTTTACAAGACATTGTTAAAATAGACTTGAAATATTTAACCCCGGAGAGATTAGGTGGTGTGGCACATGTTTTTTAAAATCTATATAAAAATAAATTGGGTTGATACTGGGTTTTAATAAGTTTTCTTATGATTACCCAAAGGTATTTTGTGCAAAATTTCATATTATTTTATATGCCATTATTTGAGATATTAGTATTTTTTGAGTTTTCTTAAAAATCTGCAAAGCCTGCCCTGCTAACCTGGTCAGGAAGATTTTTTAAAATTTATAATTATAGCTAGGGTTGACCAAGCAATTTGTACATACAAGATGTTGGGCTAGATAATTTGTACAAAAATAAATAAGGTAGGACCTTACAAATCTTTAATTTTTTTAAACATTTTAATAGGCCGCATTAGAATTTTAATATATTTTTTTAATTTCAAGTGAATATTTTGATTAATACTATTTAAAAAAAATTACAATATACTTATTTCTTTGTATTTTAAGAGCCGTTTAATTAAAATACTAAATTTGCAAATAATATAATAGATTCAAAAATTAAATAATTATTTTATTTATGATTTCATCCAATTACATATGCACAATTTAGATATCAAAAACAATTGATTTATATAATAGTTGTTGTAAAAAGAAATTAATAGATATAGAGGAGAGATAAACATCATAATTGATATTGGGAAAAATTAGATATAGATATTAAAAATATGATGGCCAGAAAATTTGTACAAATATATTTTACATGTCAGGGCTAACTTTTTTTAAAATTTAATCGGCCAGACCTAGACATGTGCACCAACAGCATTATCGGCGGCATTGTTTCTTTTTTTTTAAACTGGCTGGCGGTGGCGAATCATTTAGATGCTGCCACAAAATCGGAGGCGGTGCGGTGGTGTCAAATATCTTTCTAACTTAAATTTTTTAAGTAAAATTATAAATTCTTTGGAAACACTTTTAAAATAAAATTTATACTTTATAATGTTTATCACTATAATTTAATGATTTTATTAATTTATAATTACCATGTATAAATATTATTTTATTTAGATTTATAGGACATAATAATGATCTTTTAGAGTTCAGAGTGATCCCAGCTTTGGAAAATACACGCTCGCTGGATGTGCTCATAGCTGGAACACACAGGGCCTTTCTAGCTAATATTGAAAGTTTAGAAAGATTCAATGCTCTTATCCAAAAATCTAAGACATCTCTAATTGCAAAAATAATGAATAACACTCTTTTTCTAGACTACTTAAATAATCTTGTTGTTACAGATTATTGTTATGAATAGATGAATGTTTCATAGCCAATGACTTAAGATAATCGAATTCTGAGGCAATTTTCATTTCACATCGGTTAATTTGTCCGTGTAAGGCAACAGAGAGGTAGCGTGATGACATAAAAAATGCACCAGAGTAATATTTTTTTCCTTTATTACCATATTTATAGATTGAAAACGAGGATCCAAAAGTGCTCTTAACACCTAAGTAAAAAAATAAAACAAAGATAAATAATATAAAAAAAATAATTCATGTGTTTTAAAATACTAACTTAAGATCGGTTATTGGTAATCTATGATCAAATTTAGTAAGCATATTTTGTTTAAGGGATGCTATAGGAGGACTATCAAATTCTTTTACAATTAAATGATTTTTAATTTCACTACGAAGTAATGAGTATAAATTTATAGTAACTCCTTTTTGAACGGATAAAATTTAACAGTTTTTTTTGAAGGTTTTAAGAAAATTTAAAAGTTCATGCACCAAGTCCAAATGGGAGTTAAATAATTTGAGATCCGGTTTCTCTACTTTCTAGCATTATTAAAATACTATGCCAACCTGTAGGCACATTTAATTTTAAAGTATTATGTTTTTTCTCTTATGATTTTTGATTTGCACTATCATCAGTAAACCCAAAACGATCTTCATAAAAAGGATCATTATCATCCAAATCTATAATATCCAATGTAAATGATATCGATTCAAAATATTTCCTATTATCGATATCGTTTATATTTTCAAAATCCGTATTTATTTTAATTTTAAGGCAACTATAATTTCTCTCACTTTTTAAGAGATTTTCTATTTTATTAACTTTTTTATTCCATCGACTGTCACTAGATTTTATAATCATGCCCTAAACGCAAATGATGGTCATATTCTCCTAGACACTTTTCTTTACATTGGGTCCTGCATCCTATTTGAATTTTCTTGGACCCTAAATCAAATTCATTTTTAACTTTTTTATCTCGGAAATAATAGTTTGAGCAGTATGTTTTTAATGTATAAAATACAATATTAAAATTATTATCTATCTCGTGAAATGTATAAGTAATATAATTTCGCTGTCTATATTGGTCCACATATCAAAAGTTATAGCACAAAATTTTGGACCTATATTAATTTGTTGACATATGTATGCTTTTGATAAATACACATCATCTTATCCACTCCGGCTTAATGTTGTTCTAATCTTTTGGATCTAAAATATTGTCATATTTCTGCATGTAAAAAGTTAATAATAAAAACATTATGCCTTAAAAAATTCTAAATGTGGGATGAGATCAGTTTTATTTAAATATTATAAAATAATTAGATATTTTAACAGTTAAAATTAGGGGTGTACTGATACCACTTTTTGGAGGCCTATCCGATCCCATATTCCAGATATTAAATTGATATCGACCGATAACCGATCCGATATCATATCTAATTTTGTATTCTGTAAAGATACCAATGGTTTTAATTTGTAATATACTTTTTATTAGTATAACATCTATAATATAATTATACCATAACTTATGTCATTTAAATATATTATAATGATCAGTTATAGTTTATATTCAATTCTATTGCCTAAAAGTATATAAAATATTTTTATTATAAATCACTTTTATATAATAAGTAACAACATTAATCTATATACATAATAAGTAATAAACAAATATGATGTGAAATTTAAATAAATATTTAAAATAATATTTGACATTAATATATCGAAGATTTTTTTTTAGAAATATCAAAATTTCCAATTTATCAGAAATCAGCCTGCGGCGATGGTAACCGTCAATATCACCAGCTTCACTAAAAACAGATTCTGAAGAGATTATCGCACACTTTTATATACAGAATGCGCAAAAAAATAACAATATGGCAAAATGTTTATTAATTAATTATTATTATTAAAAATATGGATTTCGATTTTATTTATAAGAATAAATGATTTTAGATATAACTTTTTTTTAAAATTTATAACATTTTATTTTTGTCAAGGACGCCATTTTATATCGGATCGGCAAATTTTATAATAGTGGCCGATAACCGATATTTTATAATAGGTAAAATATCGACCCGATCCGATAAAAATATCGGTACATCCTTAGTTAAAATAAAAATTAAGATTGCCCTATAAAAAATTTATAATGAATTTACAAATAACCTTTAGAAAATCTTTTCAATATTATTTAAAGAAAAAACGGCATTAAATCCTTGCAACACATGTGAACTACCAGAATTCATTTTTTATCTTTTATAGCGTCAGTTGTATCTTTTACAATGGGTTTGAAAAATAATTTAAAATTTTGTTTAGATATTTCTTTTTTTGTCAAGTTAATTTATTATGTTTGATGTGCTGATATTTTTTGAAAAATATTTGATTGGAAAACTAATTTAAAATTCACAAATATTTTAAAAATAATTAAAAAATTTACTCTAAAAATAAATAATTATTTTTATCCTCACCATTTATAAGGTGCTATTTCCAAGCATATATTACAATAGACTTTATCTGCAGTAACACTTCTCTTATTATTTGTGCCAGTATTAAGGATCTAAAATGTTTCCATGCAAAAGAAGGTTTTACTTGCAAGGATATATTGTATTTTATTACAGGATATTGCAAAGCTGCATCCATAATTGTTTTAGTCCTGCTATGTTTATATATGTTATAATTGCAATAAAATAAAAATCATTCATTAAAATTTCCTTTTATGATAAAAAATAAATTTTATATGATGAGTTGTAGATTGCATTAAGAAAATATTGTCTAACTCCTTATATAATAATTGATGGTTTATACAAAATATTTGAAACATCAAAAATTAAAAGAATAAAATATATAATGATATTTCTATACCTTTTCTGTAAATTACTAGCCTAATAATATTTTATCTAGCACATTGGTCACAGACCTGCCCAAATTGTGCGAACGTGTATTATATGGATTGTAAATCAAATGTTTTTATAGCAAATAATATTTATTAATTTTAAAAAATAAAATCACATTTTTTAATAATTCAAAAAATATTTAATATGATTTTTCTTCTAATTACAATTCATAAATAACATATAAAATAATTATTTTTAATAATAAAAATAAAATTATGTATCACGCCACCTTTTTGGCGGCGTCAGCATCGGTC